GATCCCTCCTGTTGCCGAGTGAACCCTGGCCCCAGCCCTTGATGGCCCTACTGCAGCTCGAAGCTTTGCAAATGCCAAAATACTACATGGAAACCGCGATCTGTTGGTGGGTGCTTTCACAGTGTAATATTGCCTTTCTTGAGACAGCCTGCTTCAGCCTTTCACTCGTCGAATCCCAAACCACCAAAACGCTTGGCGCTTCAACCGCAGCCGCAACCTCTTCCCTCCTCCTTTGATGCAGGAGCCGCATCTTAGACTTTGGGGACGGTCCCGGGGCCTTGGACTTGGGAATGCTTTAGCACTTTAAGGCAAGCGGGGCGAAGCAAGCGATTAGCGTTGTCGGGTTTACTTCGGGCTGCGAGTTTGGAGCTTGTGGGCCCAGGGCCCGTAAGGCTATGGGGCTTGAGCCTTGTGTGGCTAGTGCTGCCAAGGCGAATCCTGGGAATTTTGCCTGCAAGCCGAGGTCGACAACATCGTGATCGGCAACTTGGAGAAGGGGAGGCCGGCAGCGAAAGCTCCGAGAGTCTTGGGATTCGGAGACAGGAGTCTTAGGGCATCTCAGGCTCCGTTGAGCAAAGGTTGGCCCTGCTGGTTTCTGCCGCTTTTCGGAGCTGTCAGATTCCTCTTGTGTTCTCGGTTTGAGAGGCACTTCCATTCGTTGTATTTTCTCACTCACACGGATGTCCTCAGGCACGCTTGAGCTGCTAAATGTGAACCACCTTTGGTCCTTCACGCTGTTGCAAGAAGTGAGACGAACCCCAGGCCCTTACACCAAGCACTGGTTCTTTCCAGAAAGCTGGTCAGCAAGCATCTTTGACTGGTGTTACGGAATCAGGTACTTGATTTGGGCTTTACTTCGATGATTACTTCAAAAGCTTGTGGTCCCCGGGACCTGTGCACTGGAAACGTGATGTGCCCACGCTATCACGTATCTGGGGAAGGCCAACAAGTCCTTTCAGATGTTTGTCTCAGCCGCAAGGTCTTGCCGAGACGACTGCAGCCACTAACGCATCTAGAACTCCGCAATTTTCTCGGTCGGGGGGCCGACTTCTAGCACGTCTGGATACTGTATCCTAGAATGTGCACATACGCTGACACCTGATGGCCAGACCTTGCCAGACCCAGTTTTCTTGCATCGACAGTCCTGATATATTCTACGTCAGGACACTTTTGGTGGAGGTGTACCGGGGCCCTTCCAAGAAGAGGCCATGGGTGCCTGTGCATGACGGGCTGCCTTCGTGTGGCTTGGGTTCCGTGCGGCAATAGCTTATTTGTGGTTTGTGTTGTGTTGTGCTGCCTTGAGGGTGAACTGGGAGGAGTCCATTAGTTCTTCGTTCGCATGTTCAGTGATTCAGTATGGGGTTGTGGTGGGGCAGGTTTTGTGCAGTAAAACCTCGTATCTTTGAGGTGAGGAACGAGGAAGGCTGCAAATAGTATCTGCTTGTCCAGGTTAGTTTCTCTGACCTCTGACCTTCGGAGGATGCTGATGCCGGGTTCTCTCATGCTTGGTGCCAGCCCTAGAACTATTCCTGCTGTCCGCACGCCTTCGCGCAGTCGTCGCTGATGTTGTTGTTGCTGCTGCGACGACGAGACTGCTACCACAACAACAGCAACAGCAACAACGACAACAAGAAGAAGAAGAACAACCACACTTGCTACCACCATTATGGTTTATTTTCTACTGCGACTACTACTACTACTACTACTACTACTACTACTGCTACTACTACTACTACTACTACTACGACGACGACGACGACGACGACTAGCTACTGCTACTAGCTGCTACTACGACGACGACGACGACGACGACGACTACTACTACTACTACTACTACTACTTTTACTACTGCTGCTGCTGCTGCTGCTGCTACTGCTGCTACTGCTGCTACTGCTGCTACTGCTGCTACTGCTGCTACTGCTGCTACTGCTGCTACTACTGCTACTGCTATTGCTACTGCTATGACTACTACCAC